GACAAAAAGAACTCTTAGGTGTACTATCTCATGTAATTCCTTCAAATTCCTCTCTGGACCTTTCAACCACAAAGTTGTATTATTGGGATCCCATTTGGATCTTGCCCACAGTAACTGTTCAGAGGGACCGGTTGGGTAGGAGAGGCTGGAATATGTCTGCACATCCGATCTTGATGTCTTGCTTGCTAGCCCAGTTACGGATGGCACTCCCAATCTTTCTGATTCTATTCTAATTTATACTGAAATCTGGGTTAAGGGAGGCGGTCTCTTTAAGAACTGCTGTGGTGGCCCCGCCCTTGGGTATCAGCTGAATCTGAGTCACGTGACTCTCCGGTGTGTCTCTCTTCCGCCAGCTGAAGTTGGGGCCGCATGTGCGGCTGTGGCCAGGGCTACTGGGGTTGGGGGCATCGTGCCCCCAGCCCCATGCTCCTCTTGAGTCTACTTCTGTCTGCAGCCCCATTTGGCCTGCTGGGGGAGGAAACTCGCCAGGTGAGGGCTCTGGAACTGGAGCAACAGAGGTTTCGGGAAATGCTAACCTTGCAGGGTGGCTAGAATCTGGGGCATCCAAAGGGTAGCGGTGGTGGGTGGCTGCCAAGAGGAAGGTTCTTCAACCAGGGGGAGGCGCGGGGGGGACAGCCATGTATTGTGGGATGGGATTGTGGAATAGGGCAAATGTGAGAGTAAAATCTGGATCCTGACACAGCCTTGGATGACCTAGGTCTAGGCAAGTATTGGATTTTTTCTTTCCCAGCTCTGTGTCCTGACCTCTTCCTCATCAGGGCCAGGGCAGTCTTGGCTCTACACCCATGCCTCTTCTCCATCCCACCACTGCCCCTTACCCCAGGATTCCCTTAGCTCCTTCTTACCTAGACCCCCAGGGTCCCTTTCCCCAGCATTTCCCAGACCCCCCTCCTCCAACCCTCAAGTTTCTCCTTTGCCTTTGTCTCTCCCTGATCCTGTTCCCTCCACCCTCCACTATTCCATGTTCCAGGTGTCTCTGGAGGTCATCCCTGGCTGGCTGGGTAACCCCCAGAACCTGCTTCATATCCGGGCAGTGGGCACCAATTCCACACTGCACTATGTGTGGAGCAGCCTGGGTCCTCCAGCAGTGGTGCTCGTGGCCACCAACACCCCGCACAGCACCCTGAGTGTCAATTGGAGCCGCCTGCTCTCCCCTGAGCCTGATGGAGGCCTGATGGTGCTCCCCAAGGACAGCATCCAGTTTTCTTCTGCCCTTGTCTTTACCAGGGTGAGGAGGTTGGGGAGCTCCAAGAAGAGTGCGGAGGAGGGAGTTCATCCCCATCAGAGAGAAGAATTGAAGAGGGAGGGGTGAAGTAGATATGAGAACCCTGGTGGTGGGGGAAGGTGAGTGGGAGGGGTGATTCAGGAGAAAGCGAGATCAAGGTAAGCCCAGCTCCACCCCACCCACACCTTCCAGCTGCTTGAGTTTGATGGCACCAACATGTCCAATACGGCAGCAGATCCCCCAGGAAAACCATATCCTCCATACTCCTTGGCCGAGTTCTCTTGGAACAACATCACTGACTCATTGGATCCTGCCACCCTGAGTGCCACATTTCAAGGCCGCCCCATACACGACCCTACCAGGGCTTTTGCCAATGGCAGCCTGGCCTTCAGGGTAAGAGATGGGGAATTAGAAGGAACTCAAAAGGCTGATTTATGAGGGTGGGAGTTAATGATGGGGTGGTCCTCAAGCACGAGCATCCAGCTGTTTCCCATATCTCCCATGCTTCCTTCCTAGGTCCAGGCCTTTTCCAGATCCGGCCGACCAGCCCAACCACCTCGCCTCCTGCACACAGCAGATACCTGCCAGCTAGAGGTGGCCCTGGTTGGGGCCTCTCCCCAGGGAAACTGCTCCTTGTTTGGACTGGAGGTAGCCACCTTGGGCCAGGGCCCTGACTGTCCCTCAATACAGGAGCAGCACTCTATCGATGATGAATATGCACCTGCTATCTTCCAGGTCAGGTTTCCAGTGGAGATGCAGATGGGTGGGGAATGTAGGTGTGACTCCATTAGGACCTTAGAGAATGGTTCAACCGTTTACCATTTAGCAACTCCTTTTAAGTGTGGACACTGTAATGAATCTGACCTAGTCTCTGCCCTCCATGGAGACAGAAGGCAGCGTACTATGAGTCATGCTCTGGCAGGTGGGGATCTGCAAGGCCTGGGGGCCCTAAGGAGGGAGCTGAGTGCAAACTTGCAAGTCTGGAAAAGCACTCAGTGCCCACCCAGTCCAATTCTCCCCTTTTACAGAGAGGAGATTGAGGCCCTGCCTCAGACTTAGGACTCCTCTACCCTTAGCACATTGCCTGTCAGTACTAGTGACAAATGGAGGCTGGGAGAAGTGGAGATGGGAGGGTTGGGCACATGTTCTTCCTCACTCTGTCTTTCTTTTTTTTTTTTTTTTGAGACAGAGTCTCACTTTGTTGCCTAGGCTAGAGTGAGTGCCGTGGCATCAGCCTAGCTCACGGCAACCTCAATCTCCTGGACTCAAGCAATCCTCCTGCCTCAGCCTCCTGAGTAGCTGGGACTACAGGCATGTGCCACCATACCCAGCTAATTTTTTTTCTATATATATATTAGTTGGCCAATTAATTTCTTTCTATTTATAGTAGAGATGGGGTCTCGCTCTTGCTCAGGCTGGTTTCGAACTCCTGACCTCGAGCAATCCGCCCGCCTCGGCCTCCCAGAGTGCTAGGATTACAGGCGTGAGCCACCTCGCCTAGCCCTCACTCTGTCTTGTTTGCCTTTCTCCCCAGTTGGACCAGCTGCTGTGGAGCTCCCTCCCACCAGGCTTCATGCAGTGGCGACCAGTGGCTTACTCCCAGAAGCAAGGGGGCCGAGAATCAGCCCTGCCCTGCCATGCTTCCCCTCTTCACCCCACCTTGACATACCCTATCCCCCAGTCACCCATTGTTCGAGCCTTCTTTGGGCCCCAGAACAACTTCTGTGCCTTCAATCTGACATTTGGAGCTTCCACAGGCCCTGGCTACTGGGACCAACACTACCTCAGCTGGTGAGAGACAGGGCCCGGCCGAGGGCTCGGGGGGGCTAAAGCAGAGGGCTGAGCCTCCCAGCCTTCCCTCGTGAGCCTGCTTACCTTTCCCTCTCACTCTGCTTGCTCTAGGTCGATGCTCGTAGGAGTGGGCCCCCCTCCAATGGATGCCTTGTCCCCACTAGTCCTGGGCATCATGGCGGTGGCCCTGGGTGCCCCAGGGCTCATACTGCTGGGGGGAGGCCTGGTTCTGCTTCTGCGCCACAAGCAGTACTCAGAGTACCAGTCCATCAATTGAGGTCCACTCTCTGGACAGAAGGACGTTGCTGGACCTGCCTTGCTGTGACTGAGACCTCTGGAGGTTGGCGGGTCAGTGCTCCAGCCAGCCCCTCCCCTCTCCCATCTTGCTTTTCTTAGAACTTCACACACTAGCCTCAACTTTCTGGGGACCCCCAGGTGGGGCTTCCTTCATACCTTGGGGAGGGGCTAGGGACAGGAGGTTGTTGCTAAAGGAAGGAAAGAAGGGTCCCTTGGTGTTTCCTTCTTGCATACCCCACACCCCTGTTTCCTTTGGTGGGATTCGAGGCCTAAATGCGAGGTCTTCTATCTGCATTGGCTGCCCTGGAGGGCATGAAATAGACTTATTTTTTTCACAGGGCTCCGGTCTCTTAATTTCTGAATGTTGATGGGCTGGTTTAGGGCTGGTTCCAGGGAATGGAAGCACTAAGTTTCTGTCTGAGGCTCCATTTCCTCACCAGGCCTTGTTCTCTCCCTCACCATGGAACCAAGCCTTCTGTCAGCCCTCCACCATGTGGAGCTGGGAGGTTTCTGTTGTAGTGTGAATCAAACAAGAAAGGGACACTTGAGACCGGGGTACAAACTAGAAAAGAGCCAACAAAGACTGTGGTAGTAATTTATTGTTACCCGCACACACTCACACTAGGTTAACATCAGCCGCTGTGCCTTCCAACCACTCCCCAGCCACCACACGTGGGTACATGTGCATGTGCGTGTGCACGTACACACACACACACACACCACCCCACAACCCATCTTGGGAGGCAGATTTCCCTGTCTGCTCCTCTCTCCTGTGGGAGGGGTGTGACTTCTGGGCAGTTTAAAGGTGGGAAGTTACAGAGGCCTAAACAGGTTGGCAGAGAGAAGGCAGCAGCCCAGGACTGGGGCAGCTACAACAGTCTTGACTGAGGCTAAAGGGCCCTTATCCCAGACTCCCAAGGAAAGATTTCACCAAACGTGAAAGTCCTATTTGATCTGATGCCCAGCCTCTACCTTAGGTGTGGGCAGTATTTCCAGTCTCCTTGAGGTCCTCTGCTTAGACAAATGACACAGAAATGGTCAGGGTTTGGCTGTGGCCCTGCCGCACAGAAAGCAGGGAGGTGGCCAGAGTCCAGCATTAGTGAGCCCTTATGGTTGTGGTGGGAGGCTGCTCAGGAAGGAACCATGCCTCTCCCCTGGTCCTGGCTCCTGCCCTCAGCTTCCTTAAGGGACATGGCTGTCCACCTCTTTCCCTGCAAGGAAACTAAGGCCATCCTTTATGACTGTCCCTGGCCCCAAAGATGAAGGGCAGCCCTGGCTAGGGAAGAACTCTGACTGGATGGGCACCCTGTTGAATTGGTAGCAGGGTTCCCCCTACCGAGGTCCCAGGGTTGGGGGCAAAGTCTAGGTCTGGGCCAGGTGCGGTGGCTCACGCCTGTAATCCTAGCTCTCTGGGAGGCCGAGGCGGGCGGACTGCTCGAGGTCAGGAGTTCAAAACCAGCCTGAGCAAGAGCGAGACCCCGTCTCTACTATAAATAGAAAGAAAGTAATTGGCCAACAGATATATATATAAAAAATTAGCCGGGCATGGTGACACATGCCTGTAGTCCCAGCTACTCGGGAGGCTGAGGCAGTAGGATCGCTTGAGCCCAGGAGTTTGAGGTTGCTGTGAGCTAGGCTGACGCCATGGCACTCACTCTAGCCTGGGCAACAAAGTGAGACTCTGTCTCAAAAAAAAAAAAAAAAATTCTAGGTCTGGAACTAGGTTCAGAGAAGTGTCCCGAGACCACCCGGGGCTCGCCGCGCCCTGAGGCCGAGAGGGCGGAGCGGCTCAGCCCCAGGGGCGGGGCCTGTAGTCGGAGGCCGAGCGGGCGTGGTCGGGGTAGTCCAGGCGGCTCTCGGCGGCAGTGAGCATGCGCTCTGGCTCCACCACGAACATGTAGTAGAGGTTCCACACTAGCATGGACAGCAGCGGCAGGAACGTCAGGCCGTACCCGAAGCCTCGGAAGGAGCGGCCCACGGCGAAGGTCAGCCAGTATATCAGCCTGTGGAGACAAGAAAAAAGTCTGGCTACTCTGAGGGAAGCGGTCAGCTGATTGGCAATAGGTTGACGGTGGGGGAACTAGGGAGGCAGATGGGAGGGTGGGTATGGCTGGTACTTCTGAAAACAGCCAAAGTTTACGCATTTAATATGTGCCAGGCAGGGTGCTATTTGCTGTGGGTGAACTATTTAATTGTGACTTCCCCACATCTCTATGAGGTTGAGTGAGTATACTATTCCCTTTCTTTTATTTATTTACTTTTCAAATTTTAATTAAAAAATTTTGAGTGGGCAGTATACATTCACATGGTTCCAAATTCAATAAGTAGAGTAAAATATCTTCCTCCTTTTACTGATTCCCACCCTATTCTCCCCAACCCACCCCCAGGCTTACAACATTATGGCTTCTTGTGCATCGGGTGATTTTTTGGCATATATGAGCAAAAAGTTTTGTTTTCTTTTCCCATTTTTTGAAGTATGGTAACATACAATATAGAGTGCTCTGCATGTTGATTTTCCCCCCATTTAATATATCTTGGAGATCGTTTTATATCGGATATGAAGTTTTCTCATTCTTTTACAGTTGAAGTGTGTTCCATTGTATTTATTTTACTGTTTTGCAGATGAAGAAACTAAGATTCCAAAGGGGGTTAAGTAAGACTGGTCCAAGGTTACACATCTGGGAAATAACAAAGCCATGATTTGAACCCAAGCCTGTTCATCACCCCCTCTTCTGCCATTTTAGAGTGGCAGAAGGAAAGAGGAGAGTAAGGAAGGCAGATTCAAGAGGGCTTGAAGCCCAGAGGGATGGGTCAACCATAACCAAATTTCTCCACTTGGAAAACTCACTCAAAATCCACACCCTGCCAGACACAGTGGCTTGAGCCTGTAATCCCAGCTACTCAGGAGGCTGAGGTGGGAGGATTGCTTCAGCTCAGGAGTTGAAGGCTTTTCAGCTATGATCAGGCCACTGCACTCTAGCCTGGGCAATAGAGCGAGACCATGTATCTAAAGAAATAAAATAAAATACACACCCCTCAATGGAAGAAGAAAGAGGAACTTCCTCTTAATACATGAAGGACCACTTATTACATAATTGACATGCCTCTACTCTTTTTACCTGCGAAAGGGAGGGAAGAGGGAGTAACTGCTGCTTCTCTACTGCACCAGGAAGCAGCATGGCATAATAAGAGTGAACTCTTACCACAGTGCCAGATTGTTTCAAGCACTCTACATGAATTAACTCACCTAATCCTCACAACTCCATTTTATAGATGGTGAAACTAAGGCACAAACTGCTTAAGAAACTTGCAGTGGTAGAGAAGAAAGGACCCTGGATGAGTGAGCCAAGAGACATGGATTGCTGATAAACCTGATCAGCTCTTCTCCCCCAAACTGTTGTGGTTTCCTCTCTCTAAAATGGGAAGTCTGGGCCAGGTGCAGTGGCTCACACCTGTAATCCTAGCATTTTGGAAGGCCAAGGTAGAAGGATTGCTTGAGTCCAGGAGTTTGAGACCAGCCTGGCAATAGTGAGAACCTGTCTCTACAAAATATAAGAAAATTAGCTAGGCATGGTGGTGTGTACCTGTAGACCCAGCTACTCAAGAAGCAGGAGGATTGCCTGAGCCCAGAAGTTTGAGGTTGCAGTGAGCTATAATGATGCCACTGCACTCTAGCCAGGGTAGCAGAGAGAGACAGACCCTGTCTCAAAAAAAATCAGTCAGGCCGGGCATGGTGGCTCACGCCTGTAATCCTAGCACTCTGGGAGGCCGAGGCGGGCGAGGCGGGCTTGAGGAGAGCAGGGCCCGCCTGGCTTGGGAGCAGGAGGGCTTCCTTCACTCAGCCTGGGCCCTTCAGGGCCTCTTATACCCTGCCCCCTGCATGCATCCCCGGCCACCCCACTATGTAGATAGCCCCATTCCTGTGCACCATCCACCACAAACTCTGCCCCCAGCTTGCGGTCCTTGCACCCTCCTGCCTATTCTGACCCCGTGTTCCCCAACCCCACCCAGGGCTCCTGGTGTATGGGCTAGCCTGTTATGCTTTTCTGCTCTTCGGCCCTTTGGGAGCCACGGCGGGAGGTGGAGATCCACCGGCGATAGTGGCCCAGTCGGTCCAGCTCTTCATCCTCTACTTCTTCAACCTGGCCGTGCTTTCCACCTACCTGCCCCAGGATGCCCTCAAGCTGCTCCCTCTGCTCACTGGTCTCTTTGCCATCTCCCGGTGAGTTGGGGCTGGGGGTGGGGGATGGGAGAGGTGATGGTACTAGAAGACCCAGGCATCTGAATGTTTGGAGAGCTAGGGTCAGGAGCTTTCTGGATTCTACATTGGCCCAAATGTGTGCCCTGGAGAGATGAATCCACTTTCTCTCTGGCACTTTACCTCATCTGGTAGCAGGGGGTCAGCTCTTATGTCTTCCCCATAGGAAGTTGATTTCAGAGACACATTCCAACACACCATTGGAATGTTTTCAGGTATCATCTAAATCAGTGCACCCATTGCAGCCACTCCTCTGGTCAGGTAGCTTTTTTGGCCTCTAGCTGACCACCTCTTGTGACCAAATGCTCAATTCTCATATAAAAGCAGTATGTTTCAGTTTCTAAAGGTCCTTATTGTTAGAAGTTCTTCATACTGTGCTTCTGTCCTGACTCTGCTCCCAGAATTGCCTAGGACAAATTCAGATATTTGACAACAGCCCTCAATTCCCCCACTCCCTAGTCTCTACTATGTTACTTTTTTTTTTTTTTTTGAGACAGACTCTCACTTTCATGCCTTGGCTAGATGCTGTGGCGTCAGCCTAGTTCACAGCAACCTCAAGGTCCTGGGCTCAAGCGATCCTCCTGCCTCAGCCCCCAGGTAGCTGAGAGACTACAGGCACGCACCACCATGCCCAGCTAATTTTTCCTATTTTTAGTGGCTAATTTCTTTCTATTTATAGTAGAGATGGGGTCTTGCTCTTGCTCAGGTTGGTCTCAAATTCCTGAGCTTGAGCAATCCTCCCCACCTTGACCTCCAGAGTGCAGAATCCCCTCCTCCCTTCACTGTCCTGGCTTCTCCCCTCTGGGCAGAAAATTCTCCCTGCTTGACAATGGGAAGGAGCTGGTGAGGGTACTGCTCTTCTTCCATTTTGTCAATGGAGAGGCCCTAGTCCAAAGGTACTGTCCTCTTCCTACAAACCAAGGCCACATTGGCCCTCATGGCAGCCTCCTTACTCTCCTTTCATTCAGAGTTTGCTGTCACCTAAATCCTTAGGGTTGTTTTCATGTGGACTACCGATAACCCAGAAGGCTCCTTTGAATTTCTGAACCAAGTGTAGGTCTTCCATTTTTCCCTAATACATTTCCTCTTCTTACTTTCAATACAGGATTCCAGGTTGCTTTTAATTGCTAAAACATTCTTCCTATTGAGCTAAAATTAGTCTTCCTGTCACTTCTGATTGCAATCTATAGTTAGCTATCCCACCAACCTCCTGACCATCATGCAGCCTTGTATTTTCTCCCAGTAGATTTTCCCAAGATAAATATGTTCCTACTCAGGTAACCCAGACTCTCATCTCTGACTGTGGGGAATACTGATCTCAGATAGAAGTTAGCTTAAGCAGTAAGAAGCAGCAAGGGGCTAAAGGAAGACTCAGTGATTGTCTGGTCCAGACTTCGCATTTGATTTGATTGACTGATTTTTTTTTTTTTTTGAGACAGAGTCTCGCTTTGTTGCCCAGGCTAGAGTGAGTGCCATGGCGTCAGCCTCGCTCACAGCAACCTCAATCTCCTGGGCTCAAGCAATTCTACTGCCTCAGCCTCCTGAGTAGCTGGACTACAGGCATGTGCCACCATGCCCGGCTAATTTTTTCTATATATATTAGTTGCCAATTAATTTCTTTCTATTTATAGTAGAGACGGGTCTTGCTCTTGCTCAGGGCTGGTTTAAAC